GGGGTCTTCCTCTTTTTCTCTGACCCTCCACCTTACCAAACATGATATCCTTCTCCAGCGACTGCTCCCTCCTGACAATATGTCCAAAGTATGAGAGATAAAGTTTGGCCATCCTGGCCTCCAAGGTGCACTCTGGTTGGAAGACAACACAGATTTGTTGGTTCTATGGGCAGTCCATGGTACTTTCAATAAGAGATTGGAATTAGTCAGGAATTGAAGCCTATATTCTTTTTTTTTTTTTTTTTAGCAGGGGAGGCTACATCATTTCCTAGGTCCCCACCATCTTTTCTTACTTATGGCTCACCCACTGTCTAATGAGTATTCCCATCTTGGACTTGCAGTCTCCACTTAGGCCAAATCTCAGTGATCACACTTTCATCTGAATCCAGGAAAACAATTCACAAAATACTCTGTGGACCTCTAGTGGCTTGAGCATGTAAACACAGCTTCCATGGCTGATGTGACATGAAGATGACAAGGCATTGTGAAACACCTCACCTACCATGAACATAAAGTTAGTTCATTAGACGGTATCCCCATCACAACCCAAATTCAGGCTCATTCATGAAGATTTTCCCAACTGTTTCAGTCCCATTTTAATTCCCTCTTTGCATTTCCAGTGTGAATCCTTTAGTCCCTAATAACTGGTCCCTGCATTGACCTTAATCTGTGCATGATGGACAGCCAAGCCTGTGTGACTCTTTTCACTCTACCCATGGGGCCATTGCCTATCCTACTTGCTGGTAGCAGTGTGTGGGAGGCTGGAGGGCAGTCAGTAGTGAAAGAGGTCACATTCTAGGAATGCCGTGATTACAGCCTAAAGGTACGGAAAGACAGATTGTTTTATACTTTCCTTATAAAATTTGGAATAATAAACCATACATTACCAGAAAATAAATTATCCTTCACATTTTCCTGAACACTCGGGGTAAGACTTGTATTTGTGGTCATCATCAACAACTGAAAGTAACAACCTTTTGATAGAGGCAGCACAGCACATGATTCATCATGATGGAAACAACATTACAAAGACAAGATAAATCAGTCATCATTTCAATACAAACAGATTCTGAAGAGTTATAACATTGTTGCTATCTTTTTCTTGTGGTGATTTCTTTGTTGTTTATGTTAAGTAACGTAGAGTGGATACCAACCCATAGCAACCTTGTATAGGGTTTCCAAAGAGCAGCTGGTGAGCTTGAACCACCGACCTTGCAGTTCAAATGAACTGATATAAATATATCTATACATATGTTGTTGGTAAGTGCCATCTACTCATAGCGGCCCTGTATAGGGTTTCTGTGGAGCAGCTGGTGGATTTGCTGTGAAGAGTTATCAAGTCGGTTCTGACTCACAGTGACCCTGTATAGGGTTTCCAAGGAGTGACTGGTGAGTTTGAACTGCCAACCTTGCTGTTCAAACTGACCTTGAGATTGAGTGCTTATCCTATGGCACCACACCAAAACTCTCTCACTCTATCTCTCTCTCTATGTATATATATAGTTGTTGTTGTTAAGTGCC